ACTGATGCTTTACTATACATTGAGGAGGAGGACTATGCCACTTACCGTCACATATATTTGATGCCTCCATTGACTGAAGCTCGTATCCCGATGATGAGGCCTGCCGGTATGTCTTCCTCGGGCCAGGCTCGGGCTCAGGCTGCAGACGCCCCTTCTACTAGCAGGGCCGGTACATCTAGAGGTGGGAGTAGACCGGTTCCTCCGGCTCCATCGGTTCATCCTCATCCTGGGTGGCCAGATATGCCTACTGAGTTGATGGCGTGGCAGTATGGGGCTAGCTTTCCGACTCCGATTCCACTAGAGCCTCCGATGCCCAGTGATCGATACGCCATTGATCCGGACTCACCACCGGTATGCTCCACCTGTTTTCATTCATCATTCAGATGTTTAGACACTCTTCTGTTCACTGATGATTATGAGCTCATTTTTGCAGCCATCGCGAGGATACATGGAGGAGGTGGATGGACTGGTGGCCACACTCGAGGGCATGGTCCTGTGGAGGGAGGCACAGTTGTCTGTCGCGGGCATCCAGGTACCCTTCAGTTTTCTGGCATTTATCATACTTCTGATGACATGCTGATTTCTACTACATCGATAGACTGTTTGTGTAGAGCACATCTGACACACACCCCACTTGTACACTTTATTAACATGCACCCACTTCATATAGCCTTTGCTGGCATCTGCATCTGATGTATAGACTTGGACTGATGCATTTGAATTGAACTCTTTGTTTTCAGATGCCTTCATGGTCCGGTCAGCCGCAGGCTAGGCCACCTGGGCCTCATTGGGGAGCTGGGCCATCTGGGCCTTTTCAGGGGGCAGGGCCATCTCGGCCTTCCAGAGGATCCGGGCCATCTAGGCCTTTCCGAGGAGCTCGAGGAGGGCCCGTCCGCAGACGCAGGGCTCACGTTGTGGAGGTGGGGCCTGATGAGGAGGAGGAGGATGCTGAGGAGGAGGAGGAGGAGACTACCGATCGTCAGTTAGAGGCATCTGCCGAGGAGGGAGGCTCCGACTCAGATGATGATGATGGTGCGGAGATTGTCCCGCAGAAGAGGATGAGGAGTGCTTCTCGTTCCCGCTCCCGAGGACTTTGATGCTGCTATTTCCTGCTTTATTTTTCTTTTTTGCTAGTAGTTTATAGCACTTTGCACATTGTTAGGCAGTTTTATTTTTTTGTAAAACTTGTACCTTTGTTTGTTGTAAAGCATGATGAAATGAAATAGCTTTTGAAAAGGTGTTTGTATTTTAAACTTTTAGCATCGTATCGCATCATTTATTTTGCACAAAAATGGAATTGAATGGAAATGCGCGTTGTGTAATCACCAAGTCAGGTAGTGAACCGACGCAACAAACTAAGCAACTCAACCTACTAAGATATAACAGAATCTTTAGCAAGTTTACAACTCGATAAGCAAAAACAACTCGATAATCAAAACAACAACTTGATAACAACAGAGTGTTCTTCTGACAATCTGGGCACCGGAACGCATCCGAAACGGAGGCCTTTGACTCTCCCGTTGCATGGAAATGCTTGGAACTCTCCCTCGAAGGGTAAAACAAAGGCCAAGGAGATACACTGCAGCTTTGCCAACCATCCTTGGGAGCCGGCCGGCCATCTTTGGTGGAGAGAGACAGCTGGCCGACCATTTCTGAAAAAGTAAATGGCTGGCCAGCCAGAAAAAGTAGCTGGCCGGCCATTCAGTCCTGCAGCCTCCAGATTTTTGACACGTGTCCCCGTGAATAGTGTTTTTCCTTCTATAAAAGCCTCAACTTCGGGAACATTCATTTCATCTTAGTTTTAGGCGAAGATGGAGGCGTTTCTCGCAGAAAATATCACATCTTGGATCTCTTCTCTAGATGGCTCGGAAAAGCTGAATTTCCGGGGTTTCGGCTTGAATGCACTATTCACGCTGAGCCGTACTCCGTTACATCTCCCTTTTCTCCATGCCGCGGCAAGGTTCTGGAATCCAGTGACGCATGTTTTTAGCTTTGGCGGCCAAGAGATGTGTCCCACTTTCGAAGATTTTCAGGTTTTGATGGAGTCTGAATGCTCTGAAGTGATCTTGCCCCAGTTCCGTTTTGGTCACGCCCAGGCTTTAAGGCGGATGTGTGGGCTCACAGCGCATGACGCTCGATCCCTGATCTGCAGTGGGGAATTGGACATCCTCGGCTTGATCCATCGTTTTTCCGATGCCGGTGACCGCAGCAACCATTATTGGCAGGGTTTCCAACA